TTAATTTTAATGCATTTTTTTACAAGTTTTACAATAAGAATTTTTAATTAAATATTTAAAATGATAATTAGTCACATCAATATCAACATTGTTTATGTTATCTATAAAAGTTTGATAAATCAAATGTAATAATCTTAAAAGAAATAATTGCCTTGAATTTGGCTATTAGTTTGTATTATTAATTTAGATGTATTAATAGTAGAACTAAATGATTTATTAAAAAACATAAAGCTTCATTTATATATCATCATTTGTGATGATATATATAAGCCGAGTGAGAGCATACAGCCACCTTTCCCAAATTGTTCAATTCGACCAGTGGGGTTAGACAGGGTTGCACATTCTCACCATTCCTATTCAACTTTGCCATCGATGATATTCTGGAAACAGCTCTGATGAATGTAGGTAATGGTGATGTGGATCTATTGCCTGGAGAAAGACTTCTCGACCTTGACTATGCGGACGATATTGTCCTACTGTGCGACAATGCCCAAGGCATGCAATACGCACTCAATCAGTTGGCAATCAGTGTCCGTAGGTATGGTATGTGCTTTGCACCCTCGAAGTGCAAAATACTTCTACAAGACTGGCAGGATTCTAATCCTACACTCACTTTGGATGGTGAGCAGATAGAAGTAGTCGAGGAGTTCGTGTATCTAGGTAGTTGCATAAGTACTGTTAGTGGCGTGAGTGATGAGATCAATTCATGTCCAGTGAAAGCCGAAGAGACTCATGCCACCTTTGGCGCTTTTGTGATGTTAGTCTGATTATAAAATGTTGGATCTACAAAGCGTCGGTGAGAGCAGTTTTGTTCTATGCTTGTGAAACCTGGCCTCTCCGAGTTGAGGACGTTAGACGACTCTCTGTGTTTGATCATCGCTGTCTCCGAAGGATTGCTGACATCCAGTGGCAACACCATGTTAGTAATGCAGAGGTTCGGCATCGTGTGTTCGACCACAGAGATGATAATGCAATTGGTGCCACCATCTTGAAACACCGACTTCGGTGGCTTGAACATGTTCTACGAATGTCGTCCCAGAGAATTCCACGTCGTGCATTATTTGCCGACTCTGGGGCTGGTTGGAAGAAGCGGAGAGGTGGTCAGTGCATGACATGGTGTCGTGGCATGAAAGAAAGCTGCAAAGGACTGGCTTCTGTTGGTCCTTCACGACTCCCTGGCTGGGGTCCGAGAGATGGTGCTACACAGTGTCTAGAGATGTTATCAGATATGGCTCAGAATGGAAGCCATTGGCCATCCTGCTGTAAACTTCTTTTACTTTCTTCGTTGAAAGTGGTTGTGTCTCCCTTAACTGAAAGATTTCTTCTGATTGTAGCTTTCCGTTTCCCCATTATTACTATTATTATTATTAAACTACCTCACACCAATCTCTTCGTTATTGTTCTTTTTTTACGCTCCTTACCTTTTTTCTTTTTCCTTCTCTTTAAATTCTCATTGTTTTGTGTGGCGCATATATACTTGGCGCACTCTTGTATCAATATTTATGTGTTCAAATAAATAAATAATGAATAAATTTATATTATCACTGTTTTAAGTTATATAGAGATGAAATTTTAACAAAGACTAATTGAATTTAACAAGTCAATTTAAATTACCTATGTATCATTTTAAATGGACTCATTGTTATATCTGGAGCTTAGATCCTTAATATACCGCGTATAATTTAAGCATTCGAACGCTAGAATCCTCCAAGTTGCAAATAAGAAGATAAAAGAAGATTGGAGAATGTGCTTGTTGGGTGAGAATTAAAATGTATAAAAAGCATAAGTATTTATAGATATTAGCGTTTGTTAAATCAACAATATAATTCAAACAATCTGCAAAGAGTTATATTGTGCTGCTGACCAATAGTGGCATGCCACATTGATATCCCAGGAAGCTCCATTGCGTTCTGATTGGATGGAAGTCTTCGGCTCTTCTAGGGTCTCTGGAGGCTCCGTCGTAGTTCTCGGAAGCCGTCCCAACACTCATGCTATTGAAATATAAGTGATTTCCAACTATTCGATAAATTATATCGCAATAATTTACGAGTTTAAAGAAGAAGCTTACAACTGAGACAGTATAATAATGTCTTGATGCAATTGGATGGTATACTAAAATTAAGAAACTAAAAAGTAATTACTGAACTTATTGAGACTTGAAGAAATTATTGTGATTCTTTATAGGAAGTTTTACACAACTACCTATTAATAGGTTATAATGAGTGAACGAATTCTATGCTAGAAGGAATAAAGACTATTAACAGGAATTACTAAGAATCTTTTATACTTGTTAAACTTCACTCTTTCTAATAGCACATTCGAAGCATGTTATATGCTTAATTTGAAATCCAAATTTCAAATTTGAGCCGTTTACAAACTTTCACATTGTGTACGCATTTTACTCATATTGTAGTAACACAATGAATCAACTGCTGTTCAAAATTCAGGAGGAAAACTCAGCAATAACAACATGTAATGCAACGAGTTTTCTTGAAATTGCGGGATCATTCTACTGTAGCATGATATTGGGCACAAAATATGTCTGGAAGCTTTTGAAATTACAATACTGTTTATTAGGAATGTTGATATAGGCAAAACTTCATATATCGTTTTGTGCTCTCTCAATAATCATGTATTATATGTTGGCCATTTTAAATTGGAATATTTTGTTATCTGACTAATGGGGCTAAAATCCAGTCTCTTGGAATTCGGAGATTAGTTCAGTCAATACGTTACCAGCTTTATTCATTTCAACAGTTTGTTCATCAAAGACGTTTCGTTGTAACCTCTTTAAGTCAATAGATGGAGACCTTTGATGAAATCGTTTAAAACCAGTTGCGGTAGCACAGATAGATTCACTTGATTTCTTTTCTACGATCTTGAGTCTCAATATTCCTATGTATTGTATTATACTGCTCGTGCTTTGTTTTATTCCATGAGTAATAATGTTATTCTGACTCCTGTGTTATTCATCTTTTTGTGCTGGTATGGTGTAGAAATTTGTACTAGGTCTTACGTTCATTAATGAACGTTCAGTTGTAGTGCAGAATTTTCAAAATATCACCTTACCTCTAGTCATGAAAATAAATCATCGTTAGTATATGTAAGACAGCTTCGGTAATGAAAAACAGACTCGTTAAAATAATAGCTATTATATCAACATACTAACATTAGAAATTTATCAAAACAATCTTAAGATATTTTTCATTAGCGTTACTAGTGGGAATTTAGGTTTTTTTTCTAAACCAAAAATATTGTCATTTTTTTGAAAATACTTTATTGATGATAAGCAGATTGAATCTAGCGGTTTTTGGTAAATGTTTTAGTACAAATTACAAAAAATGACTGGACATTCCGTAAACAATCATAGATTGAGCAAGGTTGGATTTCATTTCGGAATAAAAATTTCTTTTTGCTAAATACTTAGTAAATTGAAATAAGATTCTAGTTGATGAGTGCCAACTAATATGAAATATAGGTCATGGTCTTCCTGTCAATAGTTTCTAACCATTAAAGACATTTCCAAATAATATTAACTGAATAACATTTGTTAGTTAATATATTGTTTATCACAAGAGTACCAAAATAAACAATTTGACACCAATTACGAGATTTGTTCTACTTCTGAGTTCATCAAACAACTGCCTAATCAAGTTGAATACAACTACCTGGATGAATAATCCAATGACTTCAAATAATTTTTAGTGGCCTGAGATTTGACTCCATTAGGATCTTATGATGGTTGATTGTCATTGGAAATATACATACCCTGGCTACCCTCGTATATAACCATTGACTTGACTCAAATTAGTGTATAACGGAATTAAAGAAGTCAAATACGAAAATGAATTTCGAATACGTATACTTTGTACAATCATTGATCGGAAGAGACAATCAGAGAGACGTGATGAAGGGAGCGAAGAAGAGAGAACGAAATGGTGTGCAGTAGAGAAGGCATGTAAGCCAACTCCATTTAATCAATATTTATAACCAGATAAAAATAAGCTAGACATGTGATGAGTAGGATAAGATGTGCATACACATAGCTCATCTAAACAGTCAGAATAAATAAGCCAATAAGTGGCAAGGTCAAAATGTGGTTTAAGAAGAATTAATAGACTGGCTTGTCCTGAAGCTAGAATAAGTTATGTGGGCTTACAAATTCACTATCCGATCTTCAATGGCGGTCAAACTTGGGTGAATTTCACATATGCTAATCATCACAAAACTTCGGTTTTTTACACTTTAAATCAATAGAAACTTTCGACTAAATGATTTAATTAATACAACACAAAAGGCTTGTTACGGATTTAGTGAATAAATTTACTGGTAACATTCAGTTTGCTACACAAATAATTCCTGTAAAAAGGAGTGAGGTCTACTTAATCTAACTTATTTGGAAAGACTACAATAATTAGCCATTTAAAACAGTTTTCCGTTAGAGAGGTGAGAAAGTCGGATATACTGAATTACCCTGCGGGGGATAGCATTTAGTAATTTATTCTGCACTACGTAGATTAAACATTTCCTTATTAAAATATACTATGTGCGTCTTCGTTTTTCTACCTGTGCTAACAACTTTCCCCAGTATGTTAGTTTATTTCATTCCTTTAATTTGAACAGCACAATAATTGTCTTCTGATTAAGAATGGAATACACCTCCCAACTTCATTGTCTTCAATTAAGTATATTTATTATATCTGGATTGTAACCTAACAACGGCATCATCTGACAAACAAATGTATAACTTTAGACTCATATTAATAGACTAGTTACATCATGTAGGAAATCTGTAGATCACACTTAAGAGAAATAGTGTATAATATAATTTGACCTAGTAGACACATAATTGTGAACTAAACGTAATGGCTAACGATAATAAGTTTAAATCCATGTAACATCATATAGAATTGAGATAGTCCATAACACTTTATTTCCTAGAAGTAATCTTTAATTTTAAAATTAACAAACACCTACTTTCTTTATTTAAAAAAAAGACATTGATATTTTTACTTTTATATTTAAAGTTATTATCTAATAAAAACATAAAATATTGAGGGAAAAAAGACATGCTGGTTTTAAAATAATAAATTTATGAAATGGGAAATATTTGCCTATTTTAATAATTAACAGGAAAATAAGAACGACAACAATAACACATAAATGAATATTTATAGATGACCTGGTATAAACCAGAAACATTACACAATCCAAATTCTATTCAACATTAAGTTTCATACAGAACAAATATTGAGCAAATCTAGTACACTGAGGTATATAAGCTCATATCATTTTATAACCAAACACACAAATACATATTTCAAACTTGTAGGCTAAGAACAGATAGAACTGACGAGTAATTTAGCCAAATAGTGAAAAAGGTAACAATAGTAGAAGAAAAACCAGGATAATCATTCAATGACGACTTCTGAGTACAAAAGTCGCTGACTGTCCTAAAATGTTCTGAAAAATCAAGTTGCAATCGGAAACTTAGGTCCGATATTGAAAGACTATGATAAATCAATCGGAGTAAACGCTTACATATTTTAAATAATAAAAAGAATAAAGACAGAACACAGACTATATATATATATTCTCATGTAATGTAAAAAAAAGAATGGGTAATAAACTATTTGGAGTTAAGAATAACCAAACCTGGGTATGGACGAAGCTGGTTTACTCTACAGATGACCTATTTAAATAATACGTTAATATATCATGTAGATTCAAAAGAATATAGAATATTTATGCAAGAACTTAAGGCGCTTCGGTGAAGAAATGTGTAAATGAAGAAGAAAGAGGGAGCATTAAAAAAAACAATCGGATTATAATAATGGAGTAAAATAAAGGAAGACACTGATTATAGATGTATACATTGAGCAACAAGTCAAGTGACAAAAACTGTAGATTTTACGGTAGAGAATACAAGTAAAGATGAGGATTAAAGTGGATATAGAGAGTGGATATGAAAAACGAGCAATTAAATAACTCAGTGAAACAGGACAAATGAAGAGCATACTAAAGAGAGAAACTAAGAAACAAGTTTATGAAAACATTTTTATACAACCAAAAACAAATGGACCTGAGTTCCACGAAAAAAATTACATTCTTCCAGACTTTTAGAAAAAATGAAAAGAATATGTTATAGGAGAATCAATTATATAGTACATTGTCAAGAGTGAAACCTCATAATTAAATCAAACAGACTTGACGCAAATCTACAACAATTAACGAAACTAATTGGAAGAGCAATGAAAACACCTACATTCCGATTATATATATATCTTACAAATGTTATTTATTAAGCTTACAATAGTTGCATAGCATTATTATCAGACTGGTAATTCACTTAGAAAGAATAAATAAAAACAAGACAGAAGATGGTTGTATAGTAAACAAACGATGAGAATTTCTGCAGAAAGTCTTTACAAGGCAGTGAGTGAGTGTGATATCATACTTCGAAACAAAGTAATCAAAGTAAAAAAATACTCACAGTGAAGATAGAGATGTTTAACAGAGTAATTTTAGTGAAGTTTAACGAGTTTTCAGATATATATAATTAAAGCTACATTTTTGCACAGCCGTAAAAAAATAGACGTAAAAAAGGCAAAGGCCTTTTTTCATAATGCACATTCAAATCACGGAATGCATATGCATTATAAACTGTAATGTGTATTAAATTGTGAGCGTTTGGAACAAAGAAAAATTCTTGATGGAGAAGAAAATGTGTACTATTGTACGTTTAGTTGTAAACAACTCGTTGACAATTTCCAATCCAGTGCTCTGAATTGAAATCAATGTGTAAGTAGACAGATGTTACAACTAGTTAAGAAAAACGATTATGATTTAAAGAATAATGAGGTGACAGAACAGCATCTTCTTCGTGATAATTCACAGCAATATCGTCATCTTCAAGTTCTCCACCTTCACTATCTTCTAAAGTGTTTATGTCACCAGGAAGACTATGATTAAATAGTAACAACCATGTAGGAGTGGCTGGTTGCGCAACAGCTGCATTTTGTGGCGGCCTGAACTCTCTCAGATAATCAACAACTGTGCGTGCACTAGCTAAACCGGTGAGATAAGGTATCAGCTCACATAAAGCTTGATCAGCTAAATCACCGAACCATGAAACGATTTGGAGCTGAAAGATGAAATAATATAAAAAATAAAGATGAATACATACTAATAAATGCAACATTACTAATTCATTATTTTAGAGGTAGATGTACTTCACTGAAGAAAGTCTGCACAGTATGTAAGTAACATTTCCCATACAGAATGTATACAATTTATTCTAGTTTACGAGTCTGTCATAGTTACCTGATTACATTCTCGTGGAATTTAAAGGGGTAGCTAATAAATTTAATGTTAATTTTTCTACTATTGGTAGTAAAAAGTACCATATATTTAACAAAATTTTAAATCTGTTTAACGAATAAAACTTTCAATAATCAAAACATACCTATTGAGACATGAGAAATTATTTATTTATTTATTTGAGCACATAAATATTGGTACAAGAGAGCGCCAATATATATGCGCCACACAAAACAATGAAAATTCGAAGAGAGAAAAGAAAAAAAACTAAGGAGCACAAAAGAAAAAGAGAACGATAACAAAGAGATTGGTGAAAGGTAGTGCGGTCGTAACGATGGAACGGAAAGGTACAATCAGAAGAAATCTTTCAAGTAAGGGAGACACAACCACTTTCAACGAAGAAAGTAAAAGAAGTTTACAGCAGGATCACCAATGGCTTCCATTCTGAGCCATATCTGATAACGTCTCTAGACACTGTGTAGCACCATCTCTCGGACCCCAGCCAGGGAGTCGTGAAGGACCAACAGAAGCCAGTCCTTTGCAGCTTTCTTTCATGCCACGACACCATGTCATGCACTGACCACCTCTCCGCTTCTTCCAACCAGTCCCAGAGTCGGCAAATAATGCACGACGTGGAATTCTCTGGGACGACATTCGCAGAACATGTCCAAGCCACCGAAGTCGGTGTTTCAAGATGGTGACACCAATTGAATTATCATCTCTGTGCCCAAACACACGATGCCGAACCTCTGCATTACTAACATGGTGTTGCCACTGAATGTCAGCAATCCTTCGGAGACAGCGATGATCGAACACAGAGAGTCGTCTAACGTCCTCAACTCGGAGAGGCCAGGTTTCACAAGCATAGAGCAAAACTGCTCTCACCGACGCGTTGTAGATCCGACCTTTTACAGCCAAACTAACATCACGAAGGCGCCAAAGGTGGCCCAGATTGGCATAAGCCGCTCTGGCTTTCACTATACGTGCATTGATCTCATCACTCACACCCCCACAAGCACTTATGCAGCTACCCAGATACACGAACTTCTCGACTACTTCTATCTGCTCACCATCCAAAGTGAGTGCAGGATTAGAATCCTGCCAGTCTTGTAGAAGTACTTTGCACTTCGAGGGTGCAAAGCACATACCATACCTACGGACACTGATTGCCAACTGATTAAGTGCGGATTGCATGCCTTGGGCATTATCGCACAGTAAGACAATATCGTCAGCATAGTCAAGGTCGAGAAGTCTTTCTCCAGGCAACAGATCCACACCACCATTACTTACATTCATCAGAGCTGTTTCCAGAATGTCATCGATGGCAAAGTTGAAGAGGAATGGTGAGATTGGGCAACCCTGCCTAACCCCACTACTCGTATAGAACAATGGAGAGAGGTGGTTGTATGCCCTCACTCTGCCTGAGGTGTGTGTGTATAGGATGTTAATAAACTTCTCAGACACACCCTTCTTCAATAAACAATCCCAGAGAACAGTCCTGTCCAACGAATCGAAGGCAGCCCTGATGTCAAGAAACACTACGATTGTTGGCCTTTGATAAGTATGGCGATGTTCTAACATTTGGCGGAGGGTGAAGATATGATCAATACAACCTCGACCAGAACGAAACCCAGCCTGCTCCTCGCGAGTCAATCTTTCTCGGGTTTTGAACAACCTACGAAGTATGACGGAAACCAATAGCTTGGACGCAATCGGAAGTAGACTTATCCCCCGATAGTTGTTGCAGGAACGACGTGAACCCTTTTTAAAGATAGGGACAACTATCGACTCATTCCATGACGTTGGTACACTCTCTAGCTCCCAAACCTTTGTAAACAACGTCGTCAGTTCCTTAGTCAGAAAGTCACCACCATCTTTAAAAAGAGCCGAAGGTAAGTCATCTGGGCCAGGTGATTTGTAACGCTTCAAGAGTTGGAGTTCCTTGCAGACTTCCTCCTCGTTTGGTGGATCAGTCGTCACCGGCCATGGAGGGCAGGACAGTCTGACCGATGTTGCCGGAGCAGCAGGCCAGTTGAACTGCACTTCGAAAAATTCTGCCCATCGTCCAAGACGTCGATGGATGTTAGTGATTGGCATCCCATCATCCTCACAGATTGTTTCACTCACACCAGACTTCTTGCTGCCAGTGGCTCGGATGAGCTGGAAGAGCTTCCGGTAGTTACCAGATGCAGCTGCTGCTTCCATCTCATTAGCACGCTCCGACCACCAGGCTTCTCGGTCCTTACGCAAGCTTTGCCCAAATTCCTTACGTAACATCCTTCGTTTGTGGTCAAACTCACGGTCACCCGGAGTCGACCGACGGGCTTCAATAAGTTGTAAGGAACCAGAAGAAACCCAGTGCTTATAAGCGGGACGTTTCGCAAACCCACAACTGACTGTTCCCGCCATTTTCATGGCGTCATGCAATTGCAACCAATGCTCATCTATACTTTTCGGTGGAGTGGTAGCTAACCTAGAAGCTAGCTCGGTTCGATACTTACTAGCAACAGAAGTTGCAACCAGCTTGCTAATATCAATCCTTTGATGGCGCTCACTTTGTTGTCCACTGAAAAGTAAGGCAAGATTGGCGCAGACCAAGGCATGGTCAGAGTCCAGAGAGGTACTCCAAAAGGAGCGGCAGTCTTGTACACAACCACGCCAGCGGAAGCTGATCGCGATGTGATCAATCTGAGTCCAGGCATGGGATGCAGAGGGAGGACGCCAGGTGGCACATCGGCGATGACTGTGCCGAAAGTTAGTGCTAGCCAGAAACAGGTTGTGGTCTGTGCAAAGTTGCAATAGACGGTCCCCGTTATCTGACCTGCGACCAACGAGTCCCCATTGGCCACCTAAACGACTCTCTTCTGTGCCTAGACGCCCGACCTGAGCATTCAAGTCTCCGGCTAGTACTACAATATCTGTCGAGCGCACTTTCTGGAGAAGAACAGACAGCTGGTGGTAAAACTCATCCTTGATTGCATCCGGGCTGCAATCTGTCGGGGCATAGGCGGAGATGACGAAAAGACATCGTTTCTCACGCCGATTTCTTCTCACTTTGATGGAACTTTCTAATCTAACAGCACATAACCGACTGTTAATGGGGATCCAATCGATTAGTGCTGCCTCAGCTCTAGCGCTTAGTGCGACACCAACGCCAGCAAGACCAGACGAAGATGCCACAGGGTCCCCGGATAAGCGCACGTAAAACAAGCTTTTCGAAGCGACAGATGAAGAGAAAATTTGTAGTACTTCGCCAGAGTCTTGAATATGGGTCTCGGATAGACAACAAACATCAATATTGAGACTTTCCAAAGACATAGCCAGCCCTATCTGTTGTCCGACCTGGATTAGTGTGCGAACGTTGAAGGCAGCCAGTTTGAATGGTGCACGTGGTTTCAGAAAAACTGCTTCAGTTCTCGTATTCGGTGGTAACATACAATTTTCAACCGAACAGTGACTCGAGAACGTTTAGATACAGTCGAATTTCCACCAAAGACGAGCCGCTGTATAAGTATAAAAGAGGGTGAATAATGTGGAAAATAATAATAATAATAATAATAATAATAATAATAATAATAATAATAATAATAATAATAATAATAATAATAATAATAATAATAATAATAACAATAACAATAATGGTAATAATAATAATAATAGTATTAATAATGACAATAATAGTAATGATAATTATTTGAATTGATTGATTGTTTATCGGATCGAGAAAGGTAGCTGCCGTAGTCATAGAGTTCATTGTTTGTGTGTGGGCTGTGATACTGCCCGGGTGCCCAAACCGAAGCAGGTGGTTATCTTAGGGGGCCACACCTCGAGCCTTTGACCTAATGGTCTAACCCACAAGGCAGTGGAACATCGTGAGGAGATGCAATCCCATGGTAGCCGGTGACCAACGATTGGTTCATACGCCATTTGTTCCCGCAGGATACTGGAGCCCATGTGTACCATTGGTTTGTGATCCGGTTAAAGCGCCGGACGTTCGCTTTTCGTCCTCTCATTTTCGTAAACAACACCCCCGCCACGAGAAGGCAATGAGTAGGACTTCCCTGGCAGAGGCTGTATACGCGCGGCCGTGTGAGAGTATTTCGAGAAGGAGAGCGGACTCTCCCCACTCTCGGCCGTACCAGGGCGTTCGGGCGTTCAGCAAAGAGCTCTATTCTCGGCGAATTCATGGTTAACACATGTCTCAATAATCTTACTCAATCAGAATTTAGAGCTTAATAAATTTATTTGACATTTCTACCTAAAATTCCACGTTCAACTCATCCTATCACCAAACAAACCCATAACATTCCTGATTGATGAATCATTAAGCAAAAGATCGATCTGTACAAACAACTGTTTTCTGGGATGTAAAAATCAGAAACGAGGACAGCTGAGATGGACGTTCCGTGAATCAACTAACCTGGATAAGTTATTATGTACACTAACTTGAAATAAAGTGTTCAAATAAGTATTCAGAAAAGAACAAACTTTACGACATATGTATACATAACAACCAAACGACTAACGCGATCGTAACGTAATAAACAGGTAATTGACACCTACATGTATAAGTACGAAGAGAATATCTAAGCTATTGTGTGACAACTATTGACATTACAAACCTATGTAGAATGAAAAAAGATGTTCTTTATCTACTCATAACCCAGTAGTGATTAACAGTTGGGTTGAGTGCTTAATAAAAGTAGATGAGTAAAATGGCAACTAAATAAAAACATATATCAGTAGTGTGTAATGACACAAACTAATTCTATATTTATAAAGAGTATAGATGAGATGAAAAAATCTCTTTAAAAAAATATAAGTTTGCTAGTAATTGAAAGTAACAGTCAAATGACACTTACTGCATTACTTGGTTGGAATAAAAATGATATGGGAGAATTGTCAACGATGCATATTTGTTCCACATCTCTTCCCAAACGACTCAAATCCTTAATTAAGTTGCACTGATGATCAACACATGCCTCGCGAAATAAGCGATGGCGAAAATACGACGAGGCATCAATGTAATCACAAACAGGATCAGCATACTGAAATAGAAGAGTGTGAAAAATTGTAGTTTATACGTAACTGAAAGTAATAAAAATGAGCAATTTACGGTATGTATATGCACGATAAGCGACTTTTTATGGCTCTTGAAGTGTACTATGAAAGTAATGATTGACATTTTGCGAAAGGTACAAATCTATACAAAAACGGATGAATGATAACGTATTTATACACAAAGCAAATCCTTTAAAAAACACTACAAATAAACAAGAAAAATTTAAGGAGACAACCGTACAAAATACAAATATAAAACCATGAGAAAATACTTGTGCCAAAAATGTGATTATCCGCATATATAACCACATATACTACTTACAAATCACTGTAATTGCTGGCCCATTTACTACAGTAAAACGCTTAGAGAAAAGATGTCAAATTGTGTAGAAGAAAAAATGAAAGAGATATATTTGAATGAGGTCAGAAACAAATGATCGACAAAGTAGCAGATAGATACGTCAGATAAAATAAACAAAACAAAGTTTATAGGTAAGAAATCGAACAACTTTCATGGCACTTTGATGATACTTTACTTATTGTGGTGTAATAAATAGCTAAATGGAAGTCTAGAATCAGTGTTGATTAAATGACTACATGACTGGAAAAATGTTCGCTTTAGAGAACTGAACTTCGAAATCTATCTGGAAGAATCAAAATAAGATAAAACCGTTGTTAAACTGAGTATAGCACAACCAAACAAATAAAGTACTATCTATATAAAACACATTCAACCAATATACAATAACAAGCTATTTGTCGGATAACAAACAAATAATCAGATTTGGGGAGTACAAAAAACATTTGTAACTAAAAATGGGTCATACCCCAAAAGATTAATCTGCGGCGATTGATTTTAAATGTTTCGTATATTCAATTTTCATTCGAATGTTAATTATATATTGTACTCAGAGTACCTTTAATTGTAATTACATTCCATCATTACAGTCTCAAATGATTCTTTATGCTTAAAAAGTGTTATTTACAACGAAAAAATGACAAAAGAAACCATAAACAAATAGGAAGTGAACAAGGTTTTAACATACAATGCCCATAAAATATTAAGTTTCAAATACAAATTCAGTAACAGAATGTACAAAATATCTGCATAATACATAGATATAAACGCGTAACTCTAGACTGAATAAAAAGCTTGCTATACTTGGGATTTCGCCAGTTACACACACCATTTAGGTGTTAATTGTTGTTGGAAGGGGACTGGGGAAGAAAAAAAACCCTTATCTTTATGGTGTTTACATTTATTATGCCCTGCATGTTCTGTGCACGATTGTGCTGGAACACACTGAATGACCATTTCTTACCTAACCTGCGCTAGTGGACATTTGGAGAAGACTCTAGGATCCTCTTGTGTAAAATTATAAGTATACTAACGCTCTTATTGTGATTTTAATTTCCATCTAACCTTGTTTATTTGAAATAAAACTACTTTCCTGCCCAACCATATTCTGAGTTGGGGGCTTGTCTAGTGAAGTAAAGTGTCAGTGTTATAACTTGTGGTCATGTGCCCTATTAATCTATAACGCGATGATACCGCCAATTAAAGGAAAATGATTTAGCGACCGGACCAATGACGCGTAAAACCCGTACGAGCAGTCTAGAGCCTTTAACAGTCCTGCTTCCTGCCTAACCCTGTCTATTAAGTCCATAACACCAATCTCAGCTTCCACGATATGAATTATGTATTTCAAACATACTGGGTTTATATACAAACCAAACAGACCACATAGTATCATAAAACAGAAAATAACATTTGTACAAGATCTAGCCGAAAGTGGCAGTGAATGTCGAAGATAGTAACTGAAAGACTGGACATAATTCAAGAATGGTAAATCGTATAATGATTGTTCATAAGTAAAAATAAAGTCTATAATAAGAGGAACACGAATATGAATAGTTTAGTTACTTAACAACTATACAGTAAAAAAATTATGTATAGTATTAGTCCAGAAGTAGATTCTAATAGTTACCATTCATTATTCTCATTGGGATATAACAGTCAGAATCATATTAAAAATAAGAGTAAACGGGTCGTAATAAGAGAGATTATAACAAAAATGTACCGCTGTGCTATAAGAATAAACACTGTCCACAGTTAACCCAATCCTCTTGTTACTGTGCAGAAACCAGAGGAAATTTTAAGTGGCAAAATCATTAGATCACATAGGATGTTCAACTTTACGTGAAGGATACATGAAGCTAAAATGCTCAGTGTTTTATTTTGCAACAATCGGAAGATGAAACTTTGATGAGGGATAGAAATTATGTAAAAGTATAAAGGGAAGTGGAACAAATGAAAAAAAAACCCTTCCAAAAATGAAACAAAATATTTATTATTATTTGTATATATATATATATATATATAAAACTAACCTTGCGAAGACTTGCTGTGAACATAACGCACTCAAAAAGTGGTCCAATAGCTTTAAGAAACTTATCAAGATACGGTCTTTTTCGGACATACACCTAAAAAGAATGACGAAAATCAAACAACGCTATTTGACAAGATTAAACAAAAATAATCAGAATGGGTTTTGTGGAGAGTTTAAGAAATTACACAGGTTGAAATCATGAGTCAGTTGAAGCTAGACCACCATTGAAAACCTGGAAGCACTGGACGGCCGTTTCGTCCTGGTATGGGACTCCTCAGCAGTGCGCATCGTGGATGCGCACTTACTTATCCAATTTATTTCCTTCACCAACGTAGAAACTGGGACATATATAAATTTTTTCAAGTTGCCATACAACACCAGCACAGTGAAATAAGGTTGCCAGGATGAATGCCAGAGTAGTATAACCAGTAGTATCAGCGACAGCAAAAAATTACGTGTAAACATTACGATTCGAGATGATTGCATGAATAAAAAGTTGATATTATCCTGAAGCTCAGGATCTAAGGCAATGCAAAGAGTAAATGTATTTAAGTCATGTCTCTAATGATTGGTCACGATAATCGAGAAGACACCAACCAAGTAGTTTGCACTTACACCTATAAAGCTGTCATGAAAACTGGAATCAACGTAAGTTACCAAACATTGATTTCAGCTGCGTTACAGATATCAAATACACAATTACAACTCTGTATCCAACTTAAACCAACAATCGATGGTTAAATGATAGGATGATATGGTATTCGCGTACACCATTCACCTAATCACGTAGAACATACGTGTAATCAAGTGTCCTATAACTGCTTTGGCCTAAATCATGCAATGTATTATCTAAGTAAGAGTAACGTGAACCAAAAGGATAAAGCTGCTAAAAAAATTCTCTACACAATCCAAGGAAAGCTACGGTATATTAAACAAGGATGCTAGAATTTTAAAACTGAATAAGTGGGAACCTATGAATGATCAGTAAAAGTTCTGTCTAAAACAATATATTTAACGAAACCTGTGTGACTAAACGAAAAAATAAAAGGAATAATATGCGCATTACAACTTAGATTGCATTCACTTTTATCGACGTAAATCAAATTATCAAGAAAACAAATGAGTCATTCGAAGCACACCAACTTATAGTTTGTCAAACTGTGTGGTCTAGGCTACGTTTCATAGGTTGGTTGATATACATAGTAAGAATAGAAAATTACAAACAGAGAACGCTCGATTGCATGTGTAACTCTGCTAGTCTCATATATTGATTTAACAACAAGCACATAAATAAATAAGAGCGAAAATTCACTCATAATCACGTGAGCAAATTTAGCACAGAGAAATTTAAACAGACACATTATTGAAACGAATGCTGGCTTTGTGAGAAAATCAAATGATCAATTTGGACATCATTTAAAATCAATAGGTACTCGTCACAATGTATACCACAAGTCGAATGAACAGCTTCTTTAGATAGGAAATTTATAATTGTAGGTAAACAATGGTAGCAAACGAAAATTCAGGAGTAACTAACATCAAAGGCCTTTGAAATTATTAATTTAAGTGAAATACTGAAGTGTATATAAAACTCAGTGATGAATTTGTTTCACATATTGATTAACTGTCATCACTTTTTTATCATTACCATTAAATAGTAGACATTCTATTTAACTCAAGCAAAAAAAATGATTAGAAAGTTTAAAGTTGGTGTCAAATCTTCAGAATAGCCCTAAACATAACCAATGATGACAAACAGTATGTTATTGAAACTCACACACCGAACACAACCACGGAAACTAAGAACTGTGAACGATGAAAATGTAATTAAATTCAGATTCAACCGCCACTGTAGACTAGATAACAAGTAGGGTTTGTTTTTGATCACTGAATAGAATAAAAGGGCCGTTTATATTAATACTACTTAACGATTGTACCGATGAAGTTAGAATGACAGCCGAGGTGAGGTCTAAAAATTACAAGCAAATAAGTATTTTGAGAAATCGATTTAATTTGAGTTGCACGTCATTATAATGGCAACAGAGGATGAGAAGATACTATGTTGAAATACTAACAGCATCGAAAATCTGCTGAAGTCCTCAAAAACGACTGATAGGGATATTATTTAACCGTATTCAGCATTGCATCAATATTGCGAATCACCAGGTAAAATAATCTCTCAATGTACGTTTATGGCTGACACTTATTGACAATAAACGGTTAAGGATAATTGCAACAAGGGGTTACGTTAATTTGCTTGGTGGACAAGAGCTCTGAAGTTCCCTTCAGTGTATTTTAGTTTGGCTTAGTTTACCTTTTTATGAGTTGAAATTGCCTGTCACAATGCCCCCAAATGCCCTGGTACCGCCAAGAGTGGGGAGAGCTCGCTTTCCTTCTCGAAATACTCTTACATGAACACGCGTATATAGCCTCTGCCAGGAAAGTCTTACTCATTGCCTTCTCGTGGAAGGATGTTGTTTACGAAAATGAGAGGACGAAAAGCGAATATCCGGCGATTTAACCGGATCCCAAACCAATAGTGCACATGGGTTCCAGTATCCTGCGGGAACAAATGGCGTATGAACCAATCGTTGGTCACCGGCCACCATGGGACTGCATCTCCTTACGATGCTCAACTGCCTTGTGGGTTAGACCTTTAGGCAGCATGGAATGATATCCGAAAAGCTGTGGAAACAGCAGTGATATCTGCTAGTAAGGTAAACCAGAAGGTTAGAGAGCAACACTGGATCTCAGCAGCATCTATCGCACTGATAGATGCTCGGAAACTCATTCCACCTGGCTCTGAACATAGTGAAGAGCGGAGTCAGTTTAAGCGCAAGCTGACAAGAAGTCTACGCAATGATCGTGAACAGTGGTGGGTAGCGAAAGCAAGAGAGATGGAAAAGGCAGCGGCAATAGGTAATAGCAGACGATTGTTCAGACTTGTTAAGGAAACCGGGATTAGGAAACCGACTGTTAGCGAAACACTCTCAGAGAAAGATGGACATATTATTCATTCTCAATCCAAGAAATTGGATCGATGGGCAGAACACTTTAGGGATCAGTTCAACTGGCTTTCAGCCACACTTCGGTTTCCCACAATCTACAGTCAACATCAATATCAAGTTAATGTAGGTCCTCCGTCTCTTTACGAAGTTGAAAAGTCATAGGAAATCTGAAGCGAGGGAGAGCAGCAGGCCCTGAGATTTTTAAGGATGGCGGTCCAGTATCAGCAGCGATATCGACTTAGGTCTAGGGCAGAAGTTGGCAACTGGACGTAATCCCATCTGACTGGTCTCAATCACTGATTGTGCCAGTCTATAATAAAGGACAAAAGTCCTCTTGTGACAATCACAGAGGAATCAGTTTGACTAATATAGTGTCTAAAATATTAGCCTCAATAATACTTCGACGCCTAATCAAAGCTCGTGAAGAGCAGATTAGAGAAAACCAGGCCGGTTTTCGACCTGGACGTGGTTGTATAGATCAGATATTCACACTACGTCAGGTTCTAGAACATAGACACACATTCAGACGCCCCACAATGGTAGTACTTCTCGACCTTAAGGCGGCATTCGACTCTGTTGACCGTAAGGTTCTATGGCAGTGTTTGTCACTGAAAGGAGTACCAAAGAAGTACATTAACCTTATTCAGGCTCTCTACTCGAACACAACTGGTAGAGTGAGAGCTTATGGCGAACTGTCATCAGAATTGATTACCTCAAGTGGTGTTCGTCAGGGCTGTTCACTCTCCCCATTCTTGTTCAACTTTGTGGTCGACGTACTTTTAGAGATAACACTCTCCTCACCTAAATTTCCAGGAGTTGAACTTCTACCGGGAGGTTCACTTGTTGACTTAGAATATGCCGATGACATAGTTTTATTTGGTGAAGACACTGACAAAATGCAGTCTTCTGACCACTCTAAGCAACAATGCAAGCATGTTCGGGATGCGATTCTCTCCCTCGAAATGCAAAATGTTGCTTCAGGAGATTGGGTTACATTAACACCCGAACTAATGATAGGGAGTGAAGTAATTGAGCGTGTCGATCGCTTCACTTATCTTGAAAGTCTCATCAGCCCTTGTGGTCTGGTGTGTGACGGAATCTCAGCATGGATACAGAAGGCTCGACTAGCTTTTGACAACTTTTTTGGCGTAGGCGAGATATCCGTCTATCAACCAAAGGACGTGTTTACTGCGCAGCAGTTCGTTCCGTCCTACTTTATGGCAGTGAAACATGGCCGGTAAGAGTAGAGGATATCCGTAGGTTACTAGTATTTGATCATAGGTGTCTTCGAAATATTGCTCGTATATCCTGGGACCATCGAGTAAGTAATGCAGTTGTTAGGAAACGGGTACTAGGTAAGGTTGGCAAATCAATTGATGGAGTAGTGAAAATTCATCAGTTGAGATGGCTGGGACACGTATTACGTATGCCCAACCACCGACTGCCTCGACGTGCGATGTTCAGTGGTATAGGAGTAGGTTGGAAGAAAGCTAGGGGCGACCACACCAAAACATGGCACAAGTCCATGAAGTCACTGACAAGTGGACTGAGCCATGTTGGTAGGTGTAGACTACCTGGTTGGGGACCGCGAGATGATAGCAACCGATGGTTAGAGACCCTGAATGACATGGCTCAAAATCGTTTGTAATGACGCAGGTGCATCCACTCTTTGTGTTCTCCCAAATTTTAATCTTCTGAATTCTTCATGTCCCTTTTTCCCTCTTTCCAAATTTATTTCACTGAATTATACTCTTTAAATAACATATCCAAACCCTGATCTTCCCGATCACTGTTTACACTCTTGCTACCTCTACCACTACGGGATTCGGATCGACAACTGCATCTCTGTGTTAAGGTGGTGTGGCAACTCGAACTGATGTACTTACGTACGAAGTTCTACGTTGTTACTGACTGACTGTTAGACCTTTATGTCAAGGGCTCGGGGAGTGGCCCCCTAAGATAACCACCTGCTTCGGTTTGGGCACCCGGGCAGTATCACAGCCCACACACAAATATGATGAACTGCCTAAAATTATGGAAACAACTTTACTTGCTTCAACTAACAATCAAATTATTATTATTATTATTATTATTATTATTATTATTATTATTATTATTATTATTTACCACATTATTCACCCTCTTTTATACTTATACAGCGGATCGTCTTTGGTAGAAATTCGACTGTATCTAAACGTTCTCGAGTCACTGTCCGGTTGAAAATTGTATGTTACCACTGAATATGAGTACTGAAGCAGTTTTTCTGAAACCACGTGCACCATTCAAACTGGCTTCCTTTAACGTTCGCACACTAATCCAGGTTGGACAACAGATAGGGCTGGCTATGTCTTTGGAAAGTCTTGATATCGATTTCTGCTGTCTATCCGAGACCCATATTCAAGACTCTAGTGAAGTACTACAAATTTTCTCTTCATCTGTCGCTTCGAAAAGCTTGTTTTACGTGCGTTTATCCGGGGACCCTGTGGCATCTTCGTCTGGTCTTGCTGGCGTGTCGCACTAAGCGTTAGAGCTGAGGCAGCACTAGTCGATTGGATCCCCATTAACAGTCGGTTATGTGCTGTTAGATTAGAAAGTTCCATCAAAGTGAGAAGAAATCGGCGTGAGAAACGATGTCTTTTTGTCATCTCCGCCAATGCCCTGGCAGATTGCAGCCCGGATGCAATCAAGGATGAGTTTTACCACCAGCTGTCTGTTCTTCTCCAGAAAGTGCGCTCGACAGATATTGTAGTACTAGCCGGAGACTTGAATGCTCAGGTCGGGCGTCTAGGCACAGAAGAGAGTCGTTTAGGTGGCCAATGGGGACTCGTTGGTCGCAGGTCAGATAACGGGGACCGTCTATTGCAACTTTGCACAGACCACAACCTGTTTCTGGCTAGCACTAACTTTCGGCACAGTCATCGCCGATGTGCCACCTGGCGTTCTCCCTCTGCATCTCATGCCTGGACTCAGATTGATCACATCACGATCAGCTACCGCTGGCGTGGTTGTGTACAAGACTGCCGCTCCTTTTGGAGTACCTCTCTGGACTCTGACCATGCCTTGGTCTGCGCCAATCTTACCTTACTTTTCAGTGGACAACAAAGTGACCGCCACCAACGGATTGATGTTAGCAAGCTGGTTGCAACTTCTGTTGCTAGTAAGTATCGAGCCGAGCTAGTTTCTAGGTTAGCTACCACTCCACCGAAAAGTATAGATGAGCATTGGTTGCAAATGCACGACGCCATGAAAATGGCGGGAACAGTCAGTTGCGGGTTCGCGAAACGTCCCGCTTATAAGCACTGGGTTTCTTCTGGTTCCTTACAACTCATTGAAGCCCGTCGGTCAACTCCGGGTGACCGTGAGTTTGACCACAAACGAAGGATGTTACGTAATGAAATCGGGCAAAGCTTGCGTAAGGACCGAGAAGCCTGGTGGTCGAAGCGTGCCAATGAGCCGGAAGCAGCAGCTGCATCTGGTAACTACCGGAAGCTCTTCCAACTCATCCGAACCACTAGCAGCAAGAAGTCTGGTGCGAGCGAGACAATCTGCGAGGATGATGGGATGCCAACCACCAACATCCATCGACGTCTTGAACGATGGGCAGAATTTTTCGAAGGGCAGTTCAACTGGCCTGCTGCTCCGGCAACATCGGTCAGGCTGTCCTGCCCTCCATGTCCGGTGACGACTAATCTACCAAATGAGGCGGAAGTCCGCAAGGAACTCCAACTCTTGAAGTGTTACAAATCACCTGGCTTAGATGACTTACCTCAGGCTCTTTTTAGAGATGGTGGTGACTTTCTGACTAAGGAACTGACGACGTTGTTTACAAAGGTTTGGGAGCTAGAGAGTGTACCAACGTCATGGAATGAGTCGATAGTTGTCCCTATCTTTAAAAAGGGTTCACGTCGTTCCTGTAACAACTATCACGGGATAAGTCTACTTCCGATTGCGTCCAAGCTATTGGCTTCCGTCATACTTCGTAGGTTGTTCAAAACCCGAGAAAGATTGACTCGCGAGGAGCAGGCTGGGTTTCGTTCTGGTCGAGGATGTATTGATCATATACTCACCCTCCGCCAAATGTTAGAACACCGCCATACTTATCAAAGGCCAACAATCGTAATGTTTCTTGATGTCAGGGCTGCCTTCGATTCGTTGGACAGGACTGTTCTCTGGGATTGTCTATTGAAGAAGGGTGTGTCTGAGAAGTTTATTAACATCCTAAAAGCACTATATACACACACCTCAGGCAGAGTGAGAGCATACAGCCACCTTTCTCCATTGTTCCATACGAGCAGTGGGGTTAGGCAGGGTTGCTCAATCTCACCATTCCTATTCAACTTTGCGATCGATGACACTCTGCGAACACCTCTCATGGATGTAAGTAATGCCGGTGTGAATCTGTTGCCTGGAGAAAGACTTCTCGACCTTGACTATGCTGACGATATTGTCTTACTGTGCGATAATGCCCAAGGCATGCAATACGCACTCAATCAGTTGGCAATCAGTGTCCGTAGGTATGGTATGTGCTTTGCACCCTCGAAGTGCAAAGTACTTCTACAAGACTGGCAGGATTCTAATCCTGCACTCACTTTGGATGGTGAGCAGATAGAAGTAGTCGAGAAGTTTGTGTATCTATGTAGCTGCATAAGTGCTAGCGGGGGTGTGAGTGATGAGACCAATGCACGTATAGTGAAAGCCAGAGGGTCGATAAAAAACTCCAAGTACCAAATACAAATTACGTAATAGTCGAAGGATAGTCAGAAACACTAGACTACAATATCTGAAATTATTATAGATATGACTGTAAATGATAACGTCTAAAAAATTCTTTGTCTAACTGTTATTTGTCAAATGACGTATAGGGGTTTTCTATGCAATAAATTTGGATAAATTAAGTGTGAATGAAGATAAACTAAATCAAATTATCACATGTCTCAAAAGTACAATTTGACTAACTTGTTGAATAGTGCCATTGATTTCCACGGGAACAACAAAATCTGCGTTTTCTACATACTGGAATATGGAAAAAATATTTGAAGTATATGAATCTTGTAGACATAAACAGATATAAATATATGACAAAAGTTCTAAATTCCAGACTATTCTAATAACCCAAAAGATATAAGAGTTAAAGAACAAAAATGTTAAACCGAGACAACAAATTTCTCATATCTGTTCAGATCTAATTAGAACGAACAATACTATATACTCACTTGATATTGTTTTATTTGAATCTTCCCATTGATGTTTTAGGACTGAAGTTGATCAGTCTCTTATTGGCATATGTGCATACTGTGCGTATGCCTCGATATTGCCTTAATTCACAAGCAAGTGGCTATCAGGACTCAGTAGCTAAGTGGATAACGCGATGGCGTTTGAAGCGAACGGTACTGAGTTCGAGTCCCAGAGTGAACATCAACTCTGAGATGCAGGTACATCCAGCTGACGAGTCCCAAACAGGACGAAACGCGCGTCCTGGATTCCACTGCTAGCCACTATCCATCTCTGCTTATAATACTATATACTGTTGAAGAAATGGATTTGATTAGGGTGAACGCATATCTTAACATCTTGTTTATAATCAAAAAAACTACTTTTACGTTTAATATATTTCTTAATATTTGTAATAAATCCATTTTATCAATTATTTAAGCATAGGTCTCTTAATTTGTCATTATATTACTTCGTAAACATACATGAATATACTTTACATTACTAACTGCATAAAGTTAGAAAAGAATATCACCGGATTTCAACAAATAGGCTCAAACTAATATGTATACAACGAAATGACCGGATCCCTCATAAAGCTTAGTAAGAGATCTGAAGAAGTGTGACACTTACAAATCAGGAAGTATGAAGAAAAATAACTATTCTCATACGGTTAATTTTTTCTCAAACTTATGTACGCTTATGATAAAAACTCTCGTAAGTGCTTAAACAAGTAAACATAAGTAAAGCGCCGGACTCACGGAACTCCACAATAATGATACAAACAAATTAGTCTGCAAAACAAGAACATAACTTTGACCTGATTCCCCAGAAATTAATCGTCTTAAAGCTTCCCCCCCCCTACGACTGACTTTCAATCACTTTTATGGTACAAACACTGCAAATATGCCAGATAGTTACAAAGTTTCTTTAGTACAGTTTGCTTAAAATCCAATGTTAATAGTCAAGTAAGCAATAGACGCTCGGACTTCTGATACACTGTTCATAATGCAGAAGTTCTAACAAATAAATGTAATTAATTATTGTCACCCATTCTTATTGAATATTCTAGAACACTATTCAAAGTGGTACAGATACATTTATTGATTATTTCCCATTAAATCTTGGGGATCTTCGAATCGAAAACCCATTAGATCGTTTAATGACCGTATTAACCCTATATATTTTAAAGTCCACACTTCTGTTAACTATTTTTGTATTGCTATACAGTATTGCAACTTTAGCTTTTTATTTGACGTCGCATATTTGCGACAGATTCTGAAAGAAACTTGTCATGAACTTTTCTACCTACCTATCAAGGGTTTGATTAGATATCTTTTTTAGGCAGTATACTTGGTTGACATTTTTTAACACAAACATTATTACCATGAGATCAAAGTGTTGTGTATTGCAGATACTACCAGGCATTTTTTGAGAAAAATACTTAATAACCTGGTTTTACACCTTATGATATAAATGGTTTGTCAAACAGTAGTTAAAATCAATTTCAGAATAAAATATTGTTGTTACCGAAGCAGTTAGTATCGTAAAACTTGAATTTTATGATATACTTTTTGGTACAAAAAACACTCGAAATAATATCCTAGTGAAGTCACACGGATCTGAATTTTATCGCACACAAATATGAAGCTACACAGACAGTTGCCTACTAAAGTGCGCACATATACGGGCGAATGTAAACAAACATCAACTAAATACAATTGATAAACAGTGACAAATATAAACTAAATATATAGTACCAATGAAAAGGATTCTCGCACACTTTCTAACGATAGATCGATTACAAAGCAAAAAGTAAGGTAAACAAAAGAGATACTATGCCGGAAAAGTTTACTTTATAAACTAAAATCATTTTCCAAACAAATCAAAATGACCATAATATTAATTTGAAGAAAATGTAAGAAAGTAAATTAATGGAAGGTACTAGTGATCACTCATTTCAATTTCTTGAGATTAAGTTGATGGTTTTGGAACGTGAAAATTGGTATGGCATATTTTTTCCATGACGAGCAGATTACTGGAGGCTACTAGCTACTGGTTGCCCAAAACAGGTATTTTAAAAGTATTTAAGAACATATATTGGTACGTATTACTGTCGCGATGCTGGAACTGGTTGGAAGAAGCGGAGAAGTAGCCGCTGTATGATATGGTGCTGGAATATGAAAGAAAGCTATGCATGACTGACATGTCAGTCCACCATAACTAACTGGTTGGGATCCTAGAAATAGTGCAACTTAGTGACTTGAAATGTCAGACGGCTTAGAATAGAAGCCAATGACGGTGCTGAAGTTCTTCATAAAAATGAGAAGTTTAACCAAAACGACTGTTGTTTCTCTCACTACAAACTATTATGGTTCACTTATTTATATTCGTTTGTTTATTTTGATTATAGTCTCCTTCCTTTCTCTATCTTTTTGCAATTTCATCTCCTTATTTATGTGGCACATTTGTTTTGGTATCCATTGATATGGCGAGTAATAGCTTAATCATTTGGAATGCGAATGACATATGAAATTGATTTTTTTTCAATCGTGTGCGTATTCATCACATCTTAAGAAGGATTACAGATGATTAATTGTATGATATTGTAAATATGCGTTTGCACAGTAAGTTATTGAATTATTATTGTCAAATACAACTCAGTTCGATTTATACTATATCTGACTTTATTCTAATTGTAAATAAATCATATAAAATGTGAGGTATTCTTAAATCATTTCGATTTATTTTGGGAGTCAAATAAATCCTTATTGTCAATCTTCGCAACTTTTCTCATGTGTTCAAGTTACCGTACAGATTTACCCTGAGGTTATTAGTAGTATTCAGTGAGAAACCTTATGATCCATTTGTATTGGTTCATATTCTAGATAAATTAATATATAGAAACAAACGGAACACAACTCATAGATTCCATCGCTGACAACAATCTATCTACTTTACATACTCTCAAAACTATTTACTTAACTAAAGTGAATCATGAGCAACGATGATAAATAATCACGAAAAAAGTATTTAAGAGATTAATTGAATGAAATAGGGCTTACTTTGAAGGAACTATGCACCAATGTCTCATCCAAGTCCAAAACTAAGCACTTTTTATTCACACAGTCTGAGTCAACTTCACCCAATAGATCTATTCCGGGTGGTAACTAAAAAAGAAAGTAAACGGATTTAGGGATTTTTCGCTAATCTTTATAATATATGAATGCTAAATCAAAATAATTCAGTAATAAAAATGGAACCCTCACGAATTGATAGTCATTAATTTATAACAATGTAATTATTTGAGGTAAACTCTTTCAACTATCCACTTATCAAAACAAGAGGTGACATTTACTTAATGCTTATCAACACAACTAAATTTTAATACATTTTTTCCTGAGGCTTCTGCATTATTTATTTCAACACATAGATATTGGTACAAGGAGGCACCAAATACATATGCGCCACACAAATCTCATTCGATATGTGTGAGGGCTGTGATACTGCCCGGGTGCCCAGACCGAAGCAGGTGGTTTTCTTAGGGGGCCACACCCCAAGCCTTCGACCTTAGGGTCTGATCCACAAGGCAGTGGAGCATCGTAAGGAGATGCAGTCCCATGGAAGCCGGTGACCAACAATTGGTTCATACGCCATTTGTTCCCGCAGGATACTGGAGCCCATGTGCACCATTGGTTTGGAATCCGGTTAAAGCGCCGGACATTCGCTTTTCGTCCTCTCATTTTCGTAAACACCCCCGCCACGAGAAGGCAGTGAGTAGGACTTCTCTGGCAGAGGCTTCTGCATAACTTCTAATATATTCATTTGACCAGTGAGGCGCTTTTGAAACCCGATAACTTTAGAGTTAGTAGTCAAAGACGACTTAGTCTGTCTGAGTCACATATTCAAACCCGAATGCAATAGGAAATAGCCTTTAATCATTCAATCGTGTGAATCCCCAACCATAAACAAATTCATGTAACAACTAAGTAACAAAAAGCAAAAACAGCATGTCCCCTTATTGGGATCGGTGTTCGAGTTTCTAACTCAGTTTATATACGACCGGCTCCCAATTATTGAAGCTCAAAAGCACATCCCTACCAAGAAGGAGATAGAGATTGGATACAGAGCATTTAAGGCAAGAAGTTCGGACCATCTCCATTGGGCTCAAGGTACTATTGACAAGTAAATGTCTTTGAAGATGAACAGGTTGTGAAGAACGAATATTTTCTGGATCAGGCTGACAACTATCAAGCTACTTTGTTGACTGAAAGGATAGAATTTCACTGGACAAAACCAAAACCCTCATGGTAGATTCCTTATAGTACAGATTGTGGTCTGCTATAATAGTATTTTCAAGAACTGGCGACAACTGTTATATAATTTAGGTAAGAAGTAACTCTATGAATGTCTATTAGTTATTAAGACAGATGGGGGGGGCTTTTATATCAAGTAGTTAGTATTTAATAATCACTTTCATTGGAAGACAGGTATCATTAAGATATAGTTTAGAAAAAGAATGTGACGAGTCTGAGACAATAAGCAAACTATCTGTGAATAAAAGCACTTTAAAAGCAGATGAATCAATGCAGATAGGTAATGGTCTATTTGCCTTCAGAACCACTATTTGTCCAAGGAGGGTAAAGAATAGGAGTTATAAAACATATTTGCTGATGATATTTTTTGGCAACTTTTGGTAAGACATGCAAGGGAACGATGTTAAAACACTAAGGTAGAGAACTTTTGTGTCATTGCACGATGACTCGAACCGGTATTAAGAACGCTGATGAAATATTCGGGTAGTTCAGAAGAAAGATCCTCAATTTATTGGAGTGGCGTGCTAAATTACACATAAAAATTGTTAATACATTATCTAACAGAATAAAATCAAGCTAATCGGGGTTGGGGAGGTTTAAATCAAAATGTATATGCATAGTTTCACTCTAAATAAAATGATGTATTTTATCAGAATGGGGTTTTGTTGAGATTTTAGTAATTTAATAGTTGAATTCATGAGTCGATTAAAGCTAGATTTTTCTCAATTTCGAACTTACATGGTCAAGATTTTCGGAAGAAGCATCACCTTGTCCACTATTTCTATCGTAATTGATAGAATATTGGTCATGAGGACAGCTGTCCGAAACAAGATGATTACCATCAGGGTTGTCACACTCAACCCATGATGAATGCAAAGGCTGTAACTGTTGGTGAATCACGTGATGTGCAGACTCAAAACCATTAGTATTTTCTACCTGTGTAGTAGGACTCTGACATTCAGTGTTATCAGTAAGGTTTATGCCGTATGCATCATTAGTTGTGTTACGTTTTAAGGCTGCGAATTGAAAAGGATAGTGCGACTTAGATGTGTTGACATTCATTTCGACAGTCGACCGCAAGACTGGTGACTCTACACGAACATCAGGATCGCTGAAACTGTAACCATTTGATACTGAAGCCGAATGGATAGAGCTATCACATTTTGATCCTAAAGCATTCAACACCGTACTGGGGAGAACAGGTTGGAAAATTGATACAGTAGGTATGAGTACTTCTTCGGTAGATGACGGGGGCGCTAATTGATCAGCTTTACATCCGGCTGTGTCGTCAACTGACAAACCCTTCAATTTTTTGGAGCGTTTTTTGCTTCCAGATTTTGCCGGTTTGGTTGACTTTTTATTTACAAGATCATTTAATTCATTGGAGTTAGATTTACCGTCACTAGGAGATGGAGACTTTGTGGACAATGTTCCTTTAACAGAAGAGGAATCCTTTCGTTTCGACGGTAGTGGACGACAAGCTTTATCAGGAAAACAACACAGAAAACGTCGCCATTTGTTCTGAGGCTTTGTATCAGTATGACAAGGCAAAACTTCTTTTGGCCCTTGCTTGGAAATCTCATGGGCTTAAATGACAATTAAAAAGAATTAACATATTTGTAAAAACACTGTATGTATTCAAAAATTGTATTACTCAACCAACTTTGAAAACCTAAGGTCGTCAATACAACTAACAGTAATGTGGAATACACAGTCAGGCAGTCGTAGACAACCTATGACATGTCAAACGTGTTTATCATTTTAAGTTACCATACCTCACACCAACAAAAAGGGAGAAACTGGAAAATGCGAACGCTTCAAATTACAATCCGTCTCAGATGACCAATTTAAATGCCCTAATTTCATCTGCAGTCTACAATCCTCAAAAGATGCACATATCTATACACGTTCTCTGAGTAAAATGGATAATACAAACAGTTAGTGAAGAATGTCAACGGTTAATAAACCTTAGATATGTTACTGCAATGCTTCTGTGACCGCGACAGTCCGGTGGAGTACATGAAATGACAGAGTCAAGAAAACAAACACCCAACCAATGTTCTCAAGCCAGTAGTAAGGAAATGCTCCCTTCAATTTGTTGGCAGTGATAAAATGGCATTTTGCCTAATTGTCATTTCAAGAAACGTCGCTGTCATCAATGCCATAACATCGGAAGTATAGAAAATTGTTACCAATTGCGCCCTAGGAAAATTAGATCTACAACAAGACGGAGAAAATCCCTCCATGTCAAGCGTCATTGAATTTAGGAAGCCTACCGGCAACATCAAGAGTTACAGGTAGAGCTAAAAGAATATATATACCTTTACAAATAGATGAATATCCTACAAGGCTACAGTCAGATACAACATGTTATATTACTATAATACCAACCAAACTATGAAAATACCTAGGAAAAGCAGAATTCCAGAAAATATTTCGGACTTAAAAATGTGATTAGTGGAATATTACATCTTAAAGGACTACTACATTGGAAGGTTACATATCAGGATGAAACTACAGCCAAACCATGCTATATTACCGAAGCCAATTTGAACACACTTGGACTTGACTGAATTAGTACACAGCCTATATTCTCAGTTATTAAATAATATTTCTCTTTAAGTATAGAGTCAAAATATTTTGGAGTTTTCTGGGATAAAGGTTGATACGATAACCAATGGTGAGGTGAAATTCAAGACCAAAGTTATGAGAATTGCTTCTCAGATGTCAGAATCCCCTACAGTAACAAAGCCATTATCGATGTTATCCGAAGATGAGTAAACCACAGCTACAAATGGGAAGATAGAAACACTAACCGAGTTGGCAATTAATGTAAACGGTCCTAGAGAGGTGGAAGGTACAAAACAAGAAAATGTTTTAGTTAGGGCCGTGGCATTCAGCTCAATCGATATCATGATTTCGACAATCATAGTCCAGATCAAAGAAGACCGAAACAATATAGCTACAGAGATTAAGGCAACAAATTACATCAAGAGTTTGATCGTCAAGCAGTACTCGGAGGTGATGGCTGAAGGTTTTTGGTTAGTCAGATGGTCGTAATGAAATCGAGAACCAGTCGAAGAGAATCGCAGTGGAATCCCAAGTTATGAATGTTACCAACAAAATAATACATAACGAGAAACTCAAAAGCCACACCTTGGAAGAACACAACTTTACACGTTGATTTCCTAACCAAACATTTTTATCAAACAACAGAAGTCAGAGCGAAAACAAAAAGAAACTTCATCCTTTTGAGGTGTTAGGAATAGAAATATATCATTTATTTATTTATTTTGCAGGTGCTGTACACACATTAAATTACTGATTAACTACCAATAGTTCGATTCATCCGAAATTATTGACTGACCAAACATTTAAAATGATGTATTATTTATTAGCTTGGATGTCATATAATAAGTGGTTGGTGAACAAATTAGTCTGCTTCTAACCTTGTATTGACAAAGAAGTTTCGTTCTGTTGGAATCAGCAGCAGCTAGAAATGTTTCGCAGTCGTATCACTGGCAGTAATCGGCATTTAGTTTTAAGTCAACCTTGATAAATCATTATGTTTTAAGTCATTACAAAAAGTAAGAAATGTAGTCCGAAATGAAATCTAGGGCAGAAAACTTTTACATAGCGTTAGAGCTGTGTTTAAAAATAAATCAAAAATGAATGCAATACTGCCGAGACAATTTTGTCTTTAGTCATAGACAAGGATTGTCGCCCAGATTCCAACCAAGAAGAGTGCACTTCCCAATACAGCTAAAACAAGTAATCAATGACTTTACCTCATATCTTGCTTTGGGGACGACTGGTTTTCTAACAACCTACTCGTATGTTAACCAACAATGCGTGTTGGTACGTGTGGTGGCTGGATATGTAACACATCACAACTACCTTAATTTGTGAATGCTTATTGTTTCAACTGTTTTATCATTTCTACAGACCATTTTGATGCCAGTTATCGTTGAAGGCGTTCAAAAGATTATTGTCACTTGATTCTGGATCGTACGTATTTTGGCGTAGTACTTAAAGCACAAGTCCACCACAGGAAAACCTTCCAGACTTTATTATCAAGATGTAAATGTCAGTGACAGTCCCATCTTAGGAGTAATCCCCTTATAGAAAAACCAAGAGGTCATATAGACTAATATGGTTCCAACTCCCATAATTATTCAAGGCTTAAAGTTTAGAGACAGAAAGCTCGCGTAAATTAACCGTTTTGGATCCGAACGTGAATATATTGATTAGACATTCTTCCTAAGTAACGTTTTGGAGAGTAGGCATACTTATCTGTTAGTAATGACCCACTTTACTGGTTGACAGGCCTTACGATAGTATCCATCTATGTTGTCTTTTAAATATAAGATCAGTCGAATAAGTTTACGGTTAACTATCATCTGGATTGACTAGGTCTAGTGACGATCACCAGAATTACCTGCTTTACTTAATATTAGCACAGACATCTTTACAGAGGCTATACCTCCCTTGCCTACCCTTTCTAGGGTTTTATCTGCTACGATAAGACATCGACTTAAATTACGTGCATGACATTGTTCTGTTTAGGGGTAGCTGGAAAGACTTCTGACTTACTTGAGTACTAGTTTAAAAATGTGTGGGATGTTTCTCACTCCCTAAATTAAAAATTTTCCTTTACGGTTAGTTAGTGTTAATGTGTAGTTTCACCACAGATAGAAATAAATGAGTGTTGGTCGCGAAAATCAACACCACTTGCTCTGGGATACAGCGATAGTACTAATGTGAAAAAGACATCGACGGGAAAATCAAAACCTTACATTAATTTATAGTGGTTAACTGATAGTCATAGGTGTACTGATACATGCATACTCCCTGGTTGAGATCCGTATAATAATCCGATTTTTAGTTAAAGCCTTTTTCGACATATCTCTCAATGGTCACAATAATGAAATTGCATTTACCTTACCCAGAATTTTATATCAGTCAGTTATTTTTGAATCGTATCTTTATATTTAGTTTCGTACCACCATTGGTGCAACCAATTCTTAAACTCCTCAGCTATATATTCAGTTCTGATGTACCGTCTTAGACCAGTGTATGTGGGCGTATCCTATACTTTTGTGACACGCCTGCTTCGGTTTGGGCACCCAGGCAGTGTCCCAGCGCACACACAAATCCAATAATCTGTGTGGTGGTTATATTGTGTTGCTCTTCTGTAGCAATGTTTATGTGTTTAAATAAAATTGTGGCCGACTGTTTAGTTACTTAACCAGTACCTACAGTTGGTTAGATGGCTCAGAAAGATCAACTCATCATTAAAGACATCTCCAGAAGAGGCTGATTAACAAAGAGTAAATGGCCAAGTTAAATTATGGAAAAAACTTAGAGACCGAGTATATATTAACATCAACATTGTTTGAGGGTTTACAGATACAGACAACCAAATGAAGGTTAAGTCAAGAGGGTTTCAAAGTTATGACCTAATGGTTGTAGATTAAGTAAATAAGCGACAGAATCAGATCTACAGGAAGTAAATCCGGAACTATGAAGTATATTATTTACTTACCTCTGTTACCTTTCATGGGTCATAAGCTATCGACTATGGTTCGTCAACTCTGTCCTGACCCCATCTTTCTAGTTGTTGCCGATTGATACTTATCCTTTTTGTTTCTGCCTCCAATCCATTTGTCTTGGAGATTTTCGCTGTATATACGAGGGTTTTCTCAAGTCACGTATTTGACTATACTTTGAGTTTAAATTAGATATTCATACAGTGATAATAAACTACCAACTAGAAACTTATGCTAAGAAGTGTAGACTAACTTAGTTTTTCCGGGAATGAACATACTCTAGCACGACTCGTTATGGAAGAAGTTTCAGAACGATCCTTTGATTTATAAAGTTTGTTCTACAAATTTGACTTGGACATTAATGAGAGTTTACAAACCAAATTAACAGATCTCATAACGACTAGCAAAAACAATGGGACTAAAACGGATGATATACAACGACTTGTGAAACACATGAAAACCTCGACAAGTCATTTAAACATGTATTAAACTAAGATTCATCCAGACAGTTCAAATAACTTTGAACTTCAAGCACTCCCGAGCTCCCAACTTTGGGGAAAATTTGATCAATTTTGGGGAAGCCTCTATAGTAAATTTTGGGGAAATTGAGTTCAGCTGAACTCAATTATTAATCGTTTAACACTATTCCAGTTTCACTTCACACGCTGATTGGACAGCTAACATAGGGGAAGCAATAGTTAATATATTAGAAGAATTTAGACATAGTTATTATATGATCATGATATATACATTTAGAATAATTCAAATCAGTACATAAATATTATATCTGAACTAGACAAAACGAATGGGTTGAAACAATTTGAAGCTTACCTGAAGATCTTGCACTACAGTTACTATGTGAATCAGTGTATCCCTCATGTTTAATTATCTTCAAGGAAGGCGTGCTGTCACTAATTGACTGTGTCCTAGAGTGCGAACGACAGGCTGCTTCATAGATAGCAGCACTAGCAGCCTCGAGATTCAGAGGCACGGGGGGCGGAGAAAGAACAAGCCTTTCATACTCTTCAGAAGAAATATCCCCCAAATGTTGAATGTCAATCGACTTTTGTCCCACTGGGACCAATAAACTGCCATTTTCGGGACGAGAACTTAAACATAGACTTTTGCAAGGCTCTGATGACATATCATCTCCGGAATATGATTTTTTGTTTTGATAAAGTACACCGTCCATAAGACCCAATCATCTAGGGAGATAACAAGCTGGAAAATTTGGCCTAAGACAGGCGGGTCATCGGCGAGAGGTGAAATCGTTGGTTGATTAAAACTAAACTCCGCGATAGTTCAAATTGTTGAAATGGTTCTGTACAAAATGGAAGAAACCTTTCGCCTAAATGAATTCTGTATTTAGTAGCAGGGGAATAACAATGCCTACAGGTAGGAACCCAGGAATGTTAACGAATAAAAAGGATAAAGAAGAAAAAGTTGCTAATATATAGCGAAACACTGTCCTTGGTCATTAAGAATGTGTCACGTTTTCTCACAAAGGACTACTGGGAAGTCGCTTGAACTAACTCAGCCGGTAGTGATTTCCAGCATTTGACTACTCTTGGTGAGTAGAAGGTGTGTCATTTCATGGCTTACCGTTGAATACATTCTAGAGTGTCCTTAACATTTTTGAGTGAGGGAAAACACGATGTTTCCGCACTCTAAATGGGGACAAATAAAACTGTTGAAAATTATGTGGAAAGTACTTCCGTGAAAATGGCTGAAAGTGCGCTCCAACTTTACCAGTGTAAGATTTAGGCGAAAGACATTTGTGTCACAGTTAGCGTATGACTTCAGACCGTAAGGTGCCAACACTCATAGATCTTTTTCAACTTGGGATACCTAAGTTGCAGTTGTAATCTGCAACATGTCTCAGATGGACTACTTTACACTTTGAAGTGTTAATGATAAGTCCGTTGTCATCAGTCCAACTTTGAAGTTTGGTCAGATCTTCTCGAAATGCCACTTTATCCACCTGACTGAAGTCTTCTCTTCAGAGTTTCATATCAGCAAAAATAACAAATCTGACGATCACGTGAAACGAAGTATCGCTCGATGAGACCGGTATTATAAGTGAAGAGAAATGATCATTTTCGTTTTTTTACGAGGACTAGTGTAAAGCAATTTATTTTTCTAATACACGTATCTAGGTGTTAATCCAGGATTCTGGGTTTGTAGGAATGCCTGATTGACTCTATTGATCATAAAAAATCGCTGCGTATTTAAGTGCTATATGCTAGTTGTTTTCACTTTGAAGACTGATTAGAGGGTTCGTTTCAAAAATTGAGGATCAATCTGGGGACTGAATATATTTTTTAAAAGTTAACCAGACGGGACATTTATTGATGTAGAAAAAAAACAAAATCAAACAGAAGACTCTGTTCGTAACTCAAGAGGAGAAAGCTAGAAATTTATATCGGTTTATTTTGCATATTCAGCTAACACTCCGACAGGAGGAGGGCAGTGTACGGATATGTGGGCAGTTATCTAACCTACTCTAGAAGATGCTGAGTTAATTAAAGCTGATTACAGGTACACCTTGCTGACGAGTGCCAAGTAGCACGAGACCCTGGTTCAGGATTTCCTGTCAACTACCTCCAACCACCATCTAATCTCAACATAGTGCCCGCAATATCGGGTCACCTAGACTAATGGCCACATTGCAACTTGGTTGATAGCATCACATCCTCACTAAGAATGGCTCGACACACATGACATTGATCACTACCCAGCGATCAATCATTTGTGATTACATCTCAGTCCAACAAGAGGTCAGTCCTTAATGAATCTGCAATGATCCCAGATGGCATATAACTTCAAGATGCCCAAACGTTTAGCCTAGAATATGGTACTGGACACGAATACTTATTTTAGCCTTTCTGTGGAATCACTTGACAGAAGAAGATCCAGATCACTTAACATGTCGTAGTTCCTGATGAAATCATCCTCTGTACTTACGTTGTTGAGTGAGAAAATCGTTACAATGTTTCTTTTCATTATTATTGTAATCGAGTGAGATTTCACCTTCATATTCTTTTAGGATATCTTTACTACGGTAACAGAAAGGCACATAAAGTACCGTGGAGGTAGACGTGGTCCTTGTTATCTTCTCATAGGTCCAGTGAACGTGCAGTGCGGAATGAACTGAATTGTACACAGATGTGACAGGACTGTCGTATCTGTCGATCCCATTCACTTTTGGTTTCGAGTATTTTTAACTCTAAAAACTAGTTGCAAGCCATTCAGCATCCAGTGATTGCTACTAGGATCAAGATTATATTGTTTGCGGACCCTACGGGTTTAAAAGGTGTACGAACATATGACCGAAATATTTGATAGGATTTGTACTATTAACAAGTATTCAAATTTCTGGCATTCGTATTCTCTGTTTAACCATGGAACTCAACATTTGGAAATTAGGCAGGTAGTCGTCAAATAGACATGATATTCTAGTGGATAGTTTCGGACGATAGTTATTAGTAATTAGGTAGAAAGATGAATTTACAATCAACGGTTAATATTGTCTTCCTTATACAAGTGAATCAGTTACAAGCAGATGTTATTATTATTATTATGTGTGTTCGCGTTGCCTTGTGACTGTAGTTAGGAGTGGTTGATATGTTAACAGACATATTACATACGAGTGTTTACTTGCTCACCAGTGTGGATCATCAACTTAGATAATCTATTTTGAATGATTGGGAGCCTACTCCAGCTAGACGCGAATGATTATGACGGACCAAATTACTTCGAAGTCACACTTTGTGATCAGCACCAAACATGGATTACCCCTTCAATGTATCAAGGTACTATGGCTGGTTTGATAACATTACAACACAGACGACGTTATTACAGAAATATACTAATAAGAACGGGTATAGAGAAGTTAGTGCGACCGCAACCGCATGAGCCTGTCCGTGATGTGCGATTAACTGCTGCGCGTTGTTGTACTTGACCTTGACGAGGATCGATGAACTGTTCGACATTAATGACCTGACCGCAGCTTGACATGGCTAGGGCCAAGTGACATTTCACTGACCCCACACTAATATTATAACTTGACTAAAATAATTGAGCTCGACGTTGTAGTAAACATAACCTGCAATACTAATACACGATAATAATCTCGAACTGTACGCACTCGACAATTGAACTAAGTGTCCGACTTAATCGGCGAGCTGGCCAAACGACTTATCTAATCTGACGCACTCAGAGATGCCGGTACAACAGGGACATGGATATGCTAAATTCTTAATATCTTATACGTACTTCGTCCCCCTGCCAACTCATCTCACCGATCCACCTGGCGAATCGTTCCAATGTGATCATATGCATTGTCACGTCCTCATGATCACATTAGCGTTAATATTGTCGTCTAACCTAGAATAATCATTGACGTTTGTGTTGATTTTGAGTTATCATGTCTACTCAGTTATATCACCCACTCATTAATTTATAATTTTACCAACACTTCATTCACGTTTCGACATTTCAGACTCACTGGACTATTTTTTCGCTGTTTAACAACATAATTTTCTTTGCTTCAAGTGGGTTCGTTCGATTTTTTTCGTGTCACTTTTTGACTTATTACTACACTCGTTTATATAGTTGAAGTCATTTTTGTCATCATACCACAGATTTCCCGTGTCAGTATTGTCTCCTTCTATGTCTGTGGATTTTTAAGCTCTGCTAGTTAATGGGTAACGGTTGTGTTCATCTATTTGTTCACATGTATAACTGAATCATACAGTGTTCATCGCCCATCAACATTACTTAGTGCAATTAAGTTTCCATTCCTGCCGCACTGTATATTATAACGTAAAGTTTAGAGCTAGATTTTTAGTGGTACACTCTAGTTTGTCATATTCAATTATTTTGACTCTGTAGCTGTAAATAAATCCCCAAAATAAGTAGTTCTGTAAGTTTTTGACATTGGATGCTGACCACATTATTTTTAATGGACTCACCTAGCTGGAGGCGCTTGGTCATGCATCTGTACCAGATCATGAGTGAAAACTCTGTGCTCAACATCCCTTGCAATCGCTAGCCAGTTTAGATCAGTCGATCCTCGATATCAATATATCAATATAATATATTTCTGCATGTGCAGGTACACACCGTTTTTACAGGCATGATCTATAAATTACAACATTTGTTGGTTCACAAAATGTTTCCCAACTTATTAAGTTTATAGTTGTTATAAAGTGAAATCGTAGAGCGCTTGCTGTAAACTATGACCTTGAGAGGACGCGTACATCAAGTTTGTTCCAAACGTCAGAAGTTTCATAGCTGTGCCCTCAGAGCAAGATTCTGAAGAAAAAAGAGAAACAGAAGAGCAGCAAGGCACTTGGATATGAACGCAAAACGTTGCTTAACATAGTGTAGTAGAACGGACAGAGGTATAATAAATTAGAATAAATTCATATTATGTCTTGTTAGTGAAATGAAGTCAGAGGCTCCATATTATAGAATGTACTAATAAAGAACAATGAGTTGTGATGTTTAACAAGTTGGAGTAAGCTCACATGAAGGAAAGGAAGTCATGGCTGTTACTAGGAAAGCGGTCTATAAGAAGGGTGTGTATATAGAGGGTGAAGTGTTAAGAATATTAATGACTACATCTTTTATTGTCTAACTTTTTTTTCTTTTTTTGTTTTTCCGATGCCAGCCACACAATCCTAGTGTAAAAATCCGAGTTAGCATGTTATGGGTTGTTTTAGTAGAATAGCTAATCCAGCATAATATTGGAAACATGAGTTTGAGTGGTGAGCGTAGGAAAACAATCTATATCACAGATTGATTGAATTATTCTCAGTCATGAGGAGCCTGATACATACAAAATGTTCTGTCCCCACAAACATGGGTGGATTGAAGTTATCGCCCTCACCATCAATGCTTGCTAGTGAGCCCTTTTTGAACACAAATTAACCCCATTTTTGTTATTAATATATTTTTTTTTACTCAATCGTAAAAGTAGACCTCATAATCCGTAAACTAAGTTGGGTATATAAATAGTTTTTTTTATTATCTTAAGTTATTCGTGTCATAAAAACCTCTTTTTTTCGTGCTAATTTTATTGCTATATTTGTCACATACCTCATGTCAGACTTAAAAGAAACCCATAATCTGGAGGATTTGTCACCAGTGGAGATAGACACTGTTATGACTACGAAATCTCGACTTCCAGAATTTGATCGTAGTGATCCTGAGTTGTGGTTTGCTCAACTCGAGCATTATTTCACGAGACACAATATCAAATCTGAAGAGATTCGCTATAGAGATTTGTGTTCTATCCT